TTGCGATCGATAAATACGGTGCCGAGTCCGCGCGGTGTGTCCGGTCTCACGGCAGCGTATTTCGCACGCGATCCCATACGCCCGGCTGATCGCTCGCATTCAACATGTTGAATATTTCCGCACGGTTTTCCATCGCTGGCGTACAGCGCATGCGCTTGCGCCAGCGCGCCCAAGGGGCACACGTAGCGAAAAAATGCCAATGGAAAATTGGGCTACCACTTTTCATTTTGGGCCAGTAGAAATAAATTTCTGGTGGCCCGAGTGTCAAGCACTATGTATGTATGTATGTATGTAATTGTTACTAATTGTTGTTTTTCTAACATGTATTCATTCGTTTTACAGTTACTAATTCAAAGCCAATTTTTTTGAAATTTTTCGTGAAGATTACTAACTCTTGTTTTGTATATAAAACCATAATCCTATGTTGTAAATAGTTTTATTTTTCAAATAAGCTCTTGAAATAGTAAATGATGCATATGACTTTCTAAAAAAATGAAAAATAATCACATAACACCTGTTTTAAATTTTTTTTTTTAATTTTTAAATGAAAAATAATTTTTCAATTTTTTCAAAAAAAGCTTCAGCTTTCACGGTAGGGGGGGGTAGTTGATCTCGAAAATTCTTTTTTTAATTAATTATTTGAATGTAAAAATACCTCAGCTTTCCAAATATGTATGGTTTTGATAGTCTAAAACTACTACAAAGTTTACTAATTAGCTCATAATGACTTGCTACCAATCTTTTTGTTTGCATCCTTAATTAATTGGACTCAGCAGGCCTTTTTTCCCATACGGAATTGTAGTCTGAAAGGGTTAAAGGTGTGGTGCAGGTATGTTAAGTCACGTCATAAATATTAAGAAATCTTGCAAAAAAAGACTGTTTCTACATGTATATAATCTCTGTTTCTCATAAGACATGTATATTATGTACTGCAAATTTTTTTAATAGTTTCCCAATAAATAATGCAATTATATACAGAATGATAATATTTTTGAGTATAGAGTTAAATACCGGTGAGTCATGAAGTGAAATAATTTAATCATTGTCTTTGCTGCCGTATATAACACTGAGTGAAACTGAATATTATTATAGACCTGAAGCATTTCTGTGAATTTTCGTTTTAGGTGTTTTTTTTATCAATGCTGCCCATGTGTAGAAAAGCGATGCTCCTGGGATTGTCGGGGCAATGAAGAGGACAATTGAGAACGTTGCGATGCCTTGGGATGAATTTAGACAAAAGCTGGTGAAAATGGGAAGTGACGGCGTATCGGTGATGATTGGGAACAAGAATGGTGTGGCGGCGACTGCAGCCTGCATTAGTCGCTGTACATTGTAATGCTCATAAATTGGAGCTGGCAAATTTTTTATTTGATGGAATATAGTCGTGTTGTATGTCATATCGAAGAGCATCTTAAGGAGATTGCAGTGCAGTAGAAATTATGAGCATATGGCCATTCTCATTGTTTATTTTGGGTAGCATTGAACAGCTCACTTGCGGTATTGTTTTTTTTAATTATTGAGCAAATGAGCGGGGGACCATAATTCACTGAATTTGCTGTTATAATTATAACTTTGTCAACTGTTCTTTTTACTATCATGTGAAAAACATTTTCAAAATTTTCAAAGATATTTCTATAAATTTCGGCCATTTTTCTTTTTATCATTTGATAAGTTCTAATTTCTGTGATTTTTTATGTTACAGTAACTTCTGTGTAGAGAGGGAGGGCAAGATGTACTTACACATCACCAGCATCAGTGCTCGAAATGGACGGTCGCCCGGTCGCCACAGGCGACTGGAAGTACCACCGGGCGAGTAAAACATGCTAAAACAACCATAGGAGGTCGCCCGATTTTTTCTTCTTGGGCGATTCAAATTTTCCAGATTTTTCCTACTCTCCGGAAAAAATAATGTCAAATATCATTAGCCAAAGTCATAAAACAATTATGAAAACCAAAAAAAATAACTGTAGTATGATAACTCAAATGCTGAAAATGTTTCGGCAGTCGATTAAAGTTTAGCTGGGGGCGGCCATTTCGTGTTAACTAGAACTCGCGTCTACTGCCATCTAGCGGTTGAAAACAAGACACCGTCGATCCTGACGATACTATGTTGCTAAGCGATTGTATACAAATTCAAATTATATTTATAATCGGACAAAATATACAGAAAATGGCAAGCGGATCTTGGGCGTTTTTAAAGCAGGTTCCAAGTGGGAGTTCGCCTAGTAAAAAAGCTAGAAAGTGAGTAAATGTAACTATAATGTTTTTTATCAAGTATAATAGCATTGACTAGTGTTTTAAGATTGTTTAAAGTAAATTTTAGTGTTCATTCAATAGTAACTATTTGCATGAAAACTAAAAGAGTAAATGAGGGTAATATACGTTTCCAAACAGTGAAATACTCCCTAAATGTGAAATATTTCGGAGACAAGAATTTAAAACAGTGTTTAAAAACAGCTGTTAAAACACTGTTAAAGCTCTGATGCATGTATATACATGTATGTATATTGTCATAATATATGATTATATATATATATATATATATATATATATATATATATATCTAAATTTATATTACTGAAAATATGGGTTATAGTATATATTCAGCCTAAATTATTTACACTTTACAGTAATTAAATTGCACCAACACTTCTAAATAGGATAATAAGGAGATTAGACAAGTCCCAGCAATCATTTTTTCTGACAACCATTATGTTTTACCACGGTTTAGTATATTATTATTGCTGCCTAGCTTTATATATTATAATAATGTATTAAATAATATAGGTATGAACAACAAAGGAAGCCAAGAACAATGCAGGAGGCATGGAAAAAAGGCAGGACATGGCTTAAGATAGATCACCAAGAGCCTGTGATGAATTGTACCTGGTGCACATCTGCTTTTCCAAGCAATGACATCAAGAGGCTCCCATTGGACACCAAAGTGGCCACCTGTCAGGGTCTGTACTACCTGTACCACAACAGTGCTCTGAACAGGTAATTAAGCACATGATAAATTTACCCCTACAACAATTGACAATATAATTATTATTATGCACTCAATAACCTAACTTAAACTACTACATGTAGTAACACTAGGTTACCCGTTTCTATGGAAGGTCAAATCTGAAGGACTCGTTTCATTCTTTGAGCCTGAAAGTGATGCTGCCCACTAGAATTGGCGGAACAAGATGGGTAGGACACCTCTTGAGAGCCCTGGTGAACTTCATGACAGGCTATTATACAGGGCAATCAAGCAGCACATTGAGCAGGTAACAGAGACTGTTGGTGTCATGGTCATATTATGCCTCGGTCACACCTTTGCGTATTGGGCTTGCGTATTGCTGCGTATTGCTCGAACGCAGACATACGCAGATACACCCAATAAAGCGCAATGATGCGAGCTCACTACGTACTCAATACGCTGTCGCTCGCTAGTTTTAAAATTTTCTAAACTCTCGCAAGCAAACGCAATGTCAAATTGCATACGAGCGGGAGCGAGTGACAACCAGTGAATGCGAGCAATAGCGAGCGACAGCGAGTGACATAGCGCAGGTATACGCAATCATTCGCACCTCATTTTTTGGAGTGCGTGTCACTGCGTATAGCTGCATTTACACGATTTACCTCGCTGTAGCTCGATGTCGTTCGCATGATTGCGCGTATTGTTGCGCTGTTGCTCGCACACCGCTCCTAGCAACACGAATCACTGCGATGGCCGCTCGCCTTGCTGCGAGTCTCGCTCGTGTGCCACTCGCTATGCTGCAAGTCTAGCTCGTGCGCCATTCGCTTTAGCTTGCTCTCGCTGGTTCCCGCACGCTTTAGCTCGCTAGCACTACGATTGGCTGCCTAGCAGGATGATTGGCAATAAGACGGGGCGCCACACGAGTTGGAAATCATACTGCAGTCAACATTTGAAGAGTAAACAACTACCGGAGTACTAAAGAAGATGCCGAAAGCGAAAGCGAAAGCGAAGAAGGGAGTGACAACGAAGTTAGTTGAGCCGCCTCGGCCCTCATCGCCCCTACCGGCACCGGAGTCACATGTGTTGACTGAACAAGAGGAGCCGAGCTCCGAGGTCGACCTGCCTTCAGGAGCCTCGGTATCAGGAAATGAGCTACCCCCAGAAGCCGATGAACCTGCCGCTAAAAAGAAGAAAAGGACGATGAACGTGGCAAAGAACCCGCGAAAAGGGGTTGTCAACTTCACCGACGACCAAGAGAAGGAGCTTGGGGAGTGGCTCTTGACTAACCCCATGTTTTATGACAAGGGATGCAAAACATTCCGTGACTCAAGAAAAAAACAATCTGCAATTCATGATAAATGCACAGAGATGGGGATCGACCCAGGGGCCTACAAATCCTGGTACCACACAATGAGAAGCGGGTTCGGCCGACTCACGATGAAAGTTGGATCCAGGGAATCAACCACTCGAGAAAAGTGGATCCTTGCCACTTTCTCCTTTTTGAAGTCCCACATTGTCAGGCATGAGTCCCGTCAGCTTGGTGTAAGTACATGTATATCATTATTTGTTGTGCTGTGATCAATTAATTACTAGCCAATATTCATTTCAGTAGAGTAGTGTGTTCATATTCCAATAATAATATTCAGGGCTCAATTTTAACAGTCGTCCGGTCGTCCGTGACGACTGGATTTTCTCTCGGGCAACTAAAATTGCTTCCGTGGTTGTCCGGTGTCCAACCTCTATAAAAATTCATTGTCTGGCTTGCTTGATACAAATAACTAATCATTATACTGTATCTGTGTGTTCCAGGTAGCAGTCATCCTTTATGTTAAATAAACCAAGGAAGATGGTATCTATTTATGACTGCTACATATTCGGAAGTGTTCATCCAACCTCAGCTGCCTCGACCATCAACTGATCTCAACTGTCCACAGCCTTTGCTACTCTACTTGAAAGATGCCACGATTGCAGTGCCCAATAGACGGGTGTGGTTGGGCGTCGCAGGACCTGGACGAAGCCTTCGCGGCAGCCCTAACCGCCGCCCTCCAGATTCATGACAGAACTAGCCACCCCGCACAGGCCCATCCAGCACCTCAAAGACTCAAGCTAGACCCACCAACCATATCGGCTGGATGTGACCCAGATCAATGGTCATCATTCCAAAGGCAATGGGTCATGTACAAGATCGGGATGGCGATTTCTGACAATGTGCTGCCCACTGCCTGTTTTACTGCTGTGACATTGATTTACGGACAGACATGCGCGATCTGCGGGTGGACGTCGCTACCATGGCAGAGGCGGATCTTCTAGGTGCGATCAAGAGACTGGCTGTCAAGGACGAGAGCACCCTCGTCCATCGCATAAAACTGAGCAGGATGACCCAATCTCCTGGGACGGGTATTAGGACATTTTTGGCCAGCCTCCGAGGCCAGGCTGCCCTCTGCCAGTACAAGCCAACTGGCAAGAGCGCGCACTGCACCCATGTGTGTCGATTACAGTGATGAGATCATCAGGACAACCTCGTGAGGGGTATTGCTGACCCAGAAATCATGTCAGACTTGCTGGGTGACCCAAAACGGACAGAACCCTTGAGGAAACGGTATCTTTCGTCGCCCAGAAAGAGCAGGGGAAGGTGACCAAGAGTGGCAGTGGGAGACTCGGGCGGGTGCCATGTGCAACACCCGTAATACCCCAAAAGGCACCTCCGGCGATTAAGAGCAGGTGGAGCGAAATGTTGGGCGTGCTTGGTCCTACTCACGGCGCCAGGAAGCGACCGAAAGGCCAGGTCCAACAACTGTGAGGCCTGGTCATTCACACTGTGCCAAATTTTGCTGTCAAGGGGCACTATACAACAGCATGCAGCAAGTGCACCACCTGCGGTAACTGGGGCCATCGTGACACCTCATCCAGAAGCTGTCCCCACGGCCGCAGGAATCCGCCCAAGGAACGCGCACCGGTAGGTGCAACCAGGATACGGGCCCACGACAAGGCTAGTTATGTGTACGACCAGTTGTGTCTGCGGATCACACTAGCCCTTGTGAGACATTCACTATGGAGTCAAAGCATCAAGACCAAGTCACTCGTCTCGAACATCATGTGTTTGATGGACAATGGGTGGCTCGCCCCTCAAACCCCACCCCATGCTATTAGTGAGCATGACACCACTGCCTAAGGATCACGCAACATTCGGATACCCAATGCACGACACCTCCAGACTCAAAATCGCGTCACTATTTCCATGGTGGCTGACACAGGGTGCCAAAGCTCGATCATACCTCTCAATTCTGCTCACACCCTGGGCATTCAGACTCGGGACCTCCTCGGCGGTCAAGCTTGTGATGCGTGCGGGCTATAAAAGAGGACCTTGGCGTGATCGGAGCCATTGAGTCGATGTTGCCACCAGAGCTACCACGGTTCCATCAGGTCAACACGTTTGCTCTGTTACGTCTCTGGATACCATGGAGAAAGCCTTCCTTTGCAGGGAAACACTCATCACTCTGGGGATCATTCACCCGGACTTCCCCACCGCTACGGCTGCAACACCTCCGGACATCGCTGCGTCCGTGGACAGCTCCGAGGAGGCCACCTGCTCTTGTCCCAGACGCAAGCAGACTCCACCACCGATGCCCACCACTCTACCCCCAGGATTGGAGGCTACAGAAGAGATATGTGGAAGCACTGAAAGGATGGCTTCTTGACTATTATGGCGCGACGACATTCAATGTGTGTGAGCATCAACCACTGCCACTTATGAAGTGTGAGCCTCTACAACTCCACGTTGACCCAACGCCAAACGCGGTGCCATCCACAAGCCAGCGCTTGTCCCAATCCACTGGCAGGATAGAGTCTATGCTGATCTCGAGAGGGACGTCCGCATTGGCGTCCTTGAGCGGGTCAGTCCCAACACACCCACAACATGGTGCTCCAGGATGGTGGTAACAGGCAAGGCTGATGGAACCCCAAGGCGACTGTAGACTTGCAACCACAGAATCGTCACTCCGTCCGGCAAACCCACCACGTGCCCAGCCCTTCCACCTGGCAGACAGTGTTCCTCAGGGCATGAAGAAAACGGTGACAGACGCCTGGAATGGGTACCATTCCGGCCCATTCGCGAAGAGGAGCGACATTTCACACCGTTATCACGCCATGGGGGCGCTACAGGTACAAGGTGGCTCCACAGGGATTCCTGGCCAGCGGTGATGCGCCTACAACGCAGCGCTTCGATGCCATCATCACTAACTTCCGAGACAAGGTCAAATGTGTGCACGATACCTGTAATGTGGACAAATTCAGTCGAAACAGCGTTCTTTCAGGCATGTGAATGCTTGACCTGTGTGCGCGCAATGGCATCACTCTGCACCCAGGGAAATTTCAAATTTGCCAGGAGACACTGTTGACTTTGCCAGGACTTACGATCACACCGACAAACGTACGGCCCAGTACCAAGTTCCTGGATGCCATCAGAAACTTCCCTACTCCACTGATATCACCGGTGCCAAGAGCTTGGTTCGGACTATAACCAGGGGCGTATGCATTCGCAATGACGCGGCAGATGCAGCCCTTTCGCGCTCTAGCTGAAACCCTCCCAAAAATTCTTGTGGACAGATGAGCTGGACGAGTTGTTGCCGCCAATCCAAGGAGGTCATCATCCAGAGAGATGAAAGCAAGGAGTGCGCCTATTCGACCCGCTCGACTGACATGCCTTGCCACTGACTGGTCAGTTGATGGCATTGGGTTCTTCATGATGCAGAAGTACTGCCAGTGCACTACCCGAACTCCTGTCTGTTGCCATGACGGCTGGAAACTCTGTCTGGTCGGCAGCAGATTCACACACCCCCCCAGAAAGTAGATATGCTCCCATCGAAGGCGAGGCCTTGGCTGTTGCGTATGCACTCCACCAAACACGCTACTATGTGCTGGGATGCAATGATCTAATCGTCGCCACTGACCATAAGCCTCTACTCCAGATCCTGAATGATAGGTCGCTCACGCGACATTGACAACAGGCGACTCCTCAACCTCAAAGAGAAAACTCTGGGATATCAGGTTCACGAATCGTGCATGTGTCTGGCAAAAAGAACCTGGGCCCAGATGCCGCTTCTAGACACCCTGTCAGTCAGCCCGATCGCCTACGCCTGCCAGGTGAGCCATCAGAACTTGACCTACTTGCCAACATGACTGTGTCCCGTCACGACACCCTGGCCAACCTTTGTCAGCATACAGAGGATACTGATATGGCTGATACATGTCCACAGTCGCCGCCGCGACCACCAGTCTGAATGCTGCTATCACAGTCGTTACGTGGGACATGGTCCGTGAGGCCACAGCATCAGACACGACATTTGTCAACCTCATCCACCACCTGGAGTCTGGGTTTCCACTGGATTGCAGAGAGCTGCCCACAGACCTGCGTCCTTATCACCGCTACGCAGCCAGCCTGTGTGTTGTTGATGGTGTGATACTCATGGGCCAGCGATTGTAATCCCGCCTGCGGCTTCGCACACAAATACTCAATGCACTCCACGCTGCCACCAAGGGGTCAGCGCGATGCGTGCACGGGCCATGGACTCGGTGTATTGGACCGGATATCACGTGACATTGCTAGAGTGAGGGACCAGTGTGCACACTGCCATCAGACGGCCAAGTCCAACCCGATGCAGCCCCCTTCCGACATAACACCGCCAGACTACCCTTTTCAGATGATCTGCAGTGACTACCTTACGTATAACAGCAAAGACTATGTAGTAATTGTGGATAGGTATTCAAACTGGCCCATGGTCTACAGGTCAGATGTCGGTGCTGAGGGCCTTCGTCAAGCGACTGCGTGAGACATTTGTGACATCGGCATCCCTGAAGAGTTGACATCTGATGGGGGTCCACAGTTCAAGGCAGGAAAGACACAGGAATTCTTGAAGGCATGGGGGTTAGACACAGGGTCTCATCCGTTTGCAAACCCACATGCTAACTGCAGGGCTGAACTGGGCTGTGAAAACGGTGAAACGCATGCTCATGGATAACACTTACCGCAGCAAGGGTCCCTCGATGTCGACAAGTTCGCAGAGAGCATTACTGATGTACAGGAACTCTGTCGACCCAGAGACAGAAGTCCTCTCCGGCACTGATTCTTATTCGGGCGACCCCATCGTGCATGCATCCCTATCCTCGCTGGCAGATTTCTTCCACACGAAACAATGGACAGAGCTGATGTCGCCATCGAGAGATGGCACTCGCTCGACGGCACTCCAGGGAGCATGAACGGTGGAATGAACACACTCACCGGTTACCAGCACTGCAGGTGGGAGATCATGTCTACCTCCAGAATTTGGTGGGCAACCACCCAAGAAGATGGGAACGCACCGGGACGGTCATAGAGGTACGGCAGTACCACCAGTATGCTATCCGTGTCGACGGTGCGGGCAGAGTCACTATCCGGAACCGCCAACATCTTCGCAAGTTCACCCCTTTCAACAGAACTCCCAACGGGGGCACAGCAGTAGAATCCAGCCCAGTTGCGCAGCAACGCAGAAAGTGATCTCCGATCACCCACTCACTTCCCAAGCAACACACCCACAGATGACCCAGAATCACATCCCATCACGATCACCGTTTGGCATCAGACGCCGCTCGTCCAAACAAGTCACCCACCGTGGCTCCTACGCCTGTACGTGTGTCCCAGACACCCCTAGCGCCACAGAGACTGAACTTCGATCGTTCGGACACCACTCGGACTCTCCTTGCCGATGATCCGGCTACGACCCGGGTACCAGCGTGCTATTGCCCGTCTCCAGCCTCACAATAAGCCTGGTACTAAGGAGCTACTGACACCGCGCAGGCCT